GAACACCGCAATGGGTTAGATTGGCAGTATTTTTATTATTTGGCAATAAATTCCTAGGAGGAAGGAGCTGCCAGCCAATTTCACCTTCAGTTGTACCGCCGAGTCTTCACGCCACATTTCTACTCGTCTGGTAGTCTACATCGTATCATCAGAGGGCCCTTGGCCGAGACACTTTTCGCACCATCTCAATTCCCGCTTCATACGTGTGAAAAGCTACCAAGCCCTCTGTCTTCCAAAGATCTTTGATGTGACAACATGCGTCTGTGGGCGAAAATTGGAGTTCCTTGTTACCAGTGGCTGATTATTGCTGCAGCGAAGAGTTGCTTCTTTGACTGGTGAAACTGCTTTCATTTCTCAGGCAGCTGCTTGTGGGAGTTCAATCTCGGGAGAAGGAAGACTGTACAGATATAATCGTGTTATCCCGATAAGCTCGCCGGACTGACGCTACAACCTTTCCCTCTCCCGCTTTTTTTCTCTTGATTTCGTGCAGAAGTGCATAGGGCTTGGCCGTCGTGTCGTGTCAGTCTTGTAAAAATCGTTAATGTAAATCTTTAAAGGATCTGCCCAAGAAAGACTTTGTGACCTGATGGTCATCATAGTTTTGCTGGTTGCGTACGACTCAGAGGACACCGTTGAGGTCCCTTCACCACCGATGCCATCATACTACTTATATAATCCACTAAGTATCGTCTGGGGATTTCGTCGTGTGTCCGTGCCTCTGCGTGACAAGAAAAAAATTCATAGCGCCTTTCCCAGTAACAGTGAGATTTTGGTTCCAAGATATAATGTAGGGGGTCAACAGTGAACTCATCCCTCCAGCAACACTCCTAGTCCAACTGTGACAAATGCCGCGAAACTATGAGAATGGGCAACACTATTGGTGGACGTGGCGTGACGGAAGTGACATCCAGTGATAAGATCCGACAAGACGGCGTCTTAAGAAGATGAAGGTTACCTATTCATAAAAGCGAGGTGACAGCCTCAGCCGAGACCTTCATTTACAGCAGACTGTGATAGCTAGCGGTCAGCATAGGGGACATCAAACCGTGGGTGGCTGAGGACGATAACAACCGATAGGTTCTATAAAGAGGGGCTTCAGTCCGTCGGTCGCCTGTTTGACGGCGGTGCAGACTCTTTACCGGTACCAAATTATAACGATTTCGTAATTATCGGTAAGGACATTGATGAGGGTGGGCAGGTTATCATTAATTCAATTAAGAACGGATCAAGATACCGATCTGGTCCACATATTTTATCATCTCGCTTCAGGCCGATTTAAGGAGGCTCGGGTGCGAAGACTTTCCTTGCTGTTCGCATGCCAGAATAGAGCGTGTTATATGCCGCGAAATGGTTCTTGTCAGCGGGGAGGAGCGGGGGGAAGTATATATGTGGTCTAGATGTGGCTCGAAACGACAATTCGAGATGAATTCATAACTCATCAACAATTTTAGGAAATCTTTGCCTGTTATATCGATGTGCAACAATGTGCTTAGGTGGTGTTCGCAATTGAAGCAAGATAAGGAAGGAACCCAGCAACTGGGAATGGAGACGTGCCATCGGTGGTGACATTCGAGCTCTTCCTTACACAACTACTTTGACATGTACAAGGCAGTTGTGTTGTGAAGTTCTCCTTCTCAGTGCCAACTAAGATCCTGCAGTTATGCCTCTCCCGGGTGTAGAGGACTCATCCGGACTATGAGTCGTTTTTACGTTCTGATGTCACAACCTCATCTGCTTGTATATGGCCTCGGCTTCTCACGGTGAAGTCTGTAGTAACATGAGGAGGACCATATGTTTGGTTCGCGTAAGGTTGCGTGATGTTGCTTAGCTTTTCAAACTCATTCTCGTGCTGTTCTATGTATAATAACCGCCACCGTTAAGCACATTTAGCGCTTTCTACACTGCGAGAGGAGTGCCTGGCAGTTGCGTGTGGTCGCCCGTGCGAACTGGGCCTGTGAAACGAACGGAGGGCCCGGCCGCAGCCGGGTGGTCCGACTGGCCTTCACATTAACATGCGAACTTGGTGCCAACACTTCTGGTTCTCTCATATGCGGGTGTTGGCTTCTTCGCTATTGGATGGCCGATCACTCTGCAAAATTATGCAAGCTATTCTAGTTAATATGGAACAGGTTATCGATGTCCAACGAAGAAGTTTTTTCTAAGTGTATTATTTACAACACGGTAGCGATCGACGCAAGTTTCGTTGGGGAAAGATAGACGGCGAGAGGATATGAGCAATGCATCAATCTACTTAATAGAATATGCTTAATATTGAATGTTTTTTTTCAGTTGCTTGTCTTCTGGAACAACACATGCAATGTGATAAGGTACACTCGAAATCCCTGAGATGAGGTAGGCGTGGCTGCTTACTCCGACTAAACGTTGTGGTGGCTATGCTTCTGAAGAGATAGTTTTTTGACCCAAGTGTGGTCACGTCTCCGTCCAACAAAGAACAAGATGGCGGTTGTCTCAAATTGAAATATCCCACGAGTAACCAGTTCTGTGCCATGTTCGAATGCCACGCCTACCCGTCACAGGGATAAGGAGTCTGTATAAAAGGGACATTTGGCATGGCTGCATAAACCACGAAATCTGTGTGAAAGTAGTACCCGAAAGTTGCACCCTATAATTGACCCCAGCTCTGACTCCTTGGCAGCGTTAGGTTTCGGCGACATTCCAGCTAGTAGAAACAGCTTCCGAAAACTAATATGTTTTTCGTCACCCACATACACACACAAACATACACATAAATAGAATGTTCGTGGAATGTAAGTATACGACTGTTTTACATGTGAAGTTTTGTGAGCAGAAGCATAACATTCTCTACGAAGAAATCCCGTCAAAACTCGCATTCCATCGGTCAGAGGTAAGGATATGGCCGAGAACCTATTTTTCTATCAGGACAGTATCTGCACCTGCTGGCAACTCGTAGTGCTCCGTGTGACCCGCTGCTTCGCTTGATCGAGGCAATTCAGCTATGCTGTGAAGTAAACCTGAAATATTAATCGCTTTGTAAACGGACGTTGAATTTCTTTACTCTACTCACTTACGTAATCCATCCCCACACTCATTTCAACCGTAGGTCCCAAAAAGTATGCTTGTGAGAACAATTAGTGAAACACCCTATTCTATTAAAATTTTCCAAAGCAAAATGATCCCTCAACGAGTGAAGAAGATGGCAGCCTGATGGAGCAAAGTTACGGCGGATGAATAATCACACATCATCCGAACCCGTTAAAGTTTTTGAAGTGAAGTTCACTACATGAGGCCGCCCGTTGTCCTGTGCTGAAAAAACGTCACCGTCCCAGTAGGGACTTTAATCAAGCTTCGACATCGAATTTATGGATGTCTCCTCTGCCGTTGCAGTGACACACTCATCAAAGGGCTCCCAAAGTTCTATGCCAGAACCATCCAAACGCACAGCGAAACATCCTTGCGCTGTGACGTATGTGAACTTTGTGTAAGTAGTCCCGAATTTGAACGGAGAACTCACGATTTATGCAATGACCATTCAGCTCAAAGGAGTGTTACCGTATTTGTATATGTCTACGATGTAAATTTGACTGCCGCAAAGTATATATTCAAAAGATATCCGTCTTCATTCATCTCACACCATTCGTAAGTCTCTTCGTGCAGTAATCGGAAGACTCTTTCCGGCAAGCATTGCACAACTACGTTTACGTCATATAACATGGGAGGGGGCCAAAAAAAGATATTTTCAGACATTTCGAGACGAGTCAACACAGTACCAGCAAAGTTCGCAGCCCAGACAAAACGTGGTAACGAGTACCAGGCGAGGATACCAAGAGTTCCTTCCTAATAAGCAAGACTGGAGCTCGCATATCGCCCTTCATTATCACCAAATTGCAACCGGTTATTCTCCAGCCCGCACTGACTGAGAGACCTTCGGATACTTATTCACTCCAAACCGCTGCGAAACTTCTTGTATGGCGTCACCCATGGATAGCTACCTGGAGACCAGTACTCTCGATTTGGAAACCTCCAACATCGAGCAGCTCCGACAACGTCGCTAAACTGTCTAGACGTCCATCTTCACCACAGTCGCCTAGCCGTTGATGGAATGATCTGGACGATCCTGATATGGAAAGACCGTATATTTTCTTGTGACTCGAGGACGAGGTGAGCCCTGCGTTACATCGAGCACTCGAGAAGAATATCCTCCCTACATGTCGTCGCCCGTACCTTCTTGGAAACTTTGTACTGCTACAGGATTGGGTGACACCACATGAAATCGAAGAAGGGCGTTGGAGAAACATTCGCCTACTTGGGATGGAGGGGCGTTGAGTACCTGAAAAGGTGGAATATTCAAACAGGTCATCTGACCCAAATCCTCTCGATTACCTGGTTCGGGCGGAGTTCAATAGGGTGGTCTACGGTGCGGAAATAGTCGCACCTATTCACTGCTGATTCTCTAGCACCCACTCACGGTCCGTGCAAGAATCTCTCGCTGGCGCTCCTCCAAATAGGCTGTGGCGAAGTACATAATTTAGGCATTTGATATGCTCTTTAATATGGTGGTGAAAATATCCGATAAGAATTCAATAAAGTGTAACTTACAACGCCTCGAATGTCAAGGAAGAAAAAGTCTTTTTTCGCCCCCTGTAGACCCTCGTTATATTCACCCCACCCGTGAAGAAAATGTAAGCCTGTTGTTCGGATGAGTGCCCACCCTTTCAGCTCCAAACTCATGCGACCAACACTCACTGTGGGTGCATCCTAGAACTCGGTGCCTGTACACAAGCAATTTGACAGTCTGTAGTCCGACGTCGATGCCAGAAACAGGGAAAACAGAATTCAGTGATTCAGGTGCGTTCAAATGGGAGCGATTCATTTTCTCCGATGCGATTCTCACCGCGAACAATAAGAAATGAAGTCTCGGAGTACTTGTTCTAGCTTACAAAGCCATGCATTTTCTTGGTAAACACACTGCTTTTAAAAAACTCTCTATAATGATGGTGGGAAATATGCCACATACTGACCTATCGTGTGCTATTTTTGGCAGAAACTGTGCTTGTGTATGTGGGATCTTCCCGCTCAGGATTGAACAGACATGGGAATAGAGTTCGAAGCTGCTTTTGATATGCTGATCGATGACGAGGTGAACGAATATAGCTTACGAAGTAGCACTGACAGTATGACGGAAGGACGATCACGACCTGAATTGAAATACTAACGAAAATAGACGAGAGAGCTGTTTCAACTCACCGTGTAGGTCTGAAAAATCAGCGAAGGCCCTTTCGGAAGATATTTGATGCCGAGAACGGTAGTGACTCCTGCAGTACACCAAGAACACACAAAGATCACGATTAGTAAGGCAAACGACTGCATCAACTGCAAATCCTGTACTGCGATTATTAATGATTTGCAACATTTCCTCTCCAAAAGAACTGATTTTTCCGAGGGATATTTCTCATACTTCCATCTGCAATCATAAAAATATTTCAGTAATGACAAGGTAGTTTTCATGACTCCCGTGCTTGTTCATATGTTTGATACAGTCGTCGCCGTGATCCCATTTCAATATGAAAGGTCTTTCCGATCCTTGAGAAGAATCTGTTACCTGACAATTGATGCTGCTGCTATAAGTTCGCGTCTTTTCCGAGAAGAACGTAATACATTGCACATTTCTTCGCGGTAAGGTGGAATGGCACTGCGGGTAGGAACCAGCATTTTCATTCAGTGAGCATCAACAGAAATCAGCTCTGTGTTTGCAAACTTTGTGTCGTGAGCAGTGCTTTCCCACGTATGGAATACATTCTATGTTCCATATGCGCTGCTGCCTCTCATCCCACCGCATTTTTATGTTTAGTAAAACAAAGACGAGGCTAAGAATTCATGAAAGTAAGCAGTACCACACTAATTTTTTGAGCTCATTCTGAGCCGCTAGAACACACATGCACCCTTTTTGTTGATGCCGCTTGTGCAGCCTGCTGCACTGCGCATCTCTTACCAGTTGCGTTTGCTCGTTCAATGCACACTAGTATGGGTGCAGCATGGCTCGTGGCTTTGATTTATTTAGAAATAAAAGGATGATGAAGAGAGAATGAATGGGTAATTCGTACTTTCTTTTCTCCCGACGATGAAGACTGTGATCGAGAGGACGTTCTGGATGGCTGTTGACCTGAAATTAACATGCTGTATGAAAGACATTGGTGATCGATGTTCGGGAATCTCTTCGAGAGGCGCCACGCAATGAATTCCCGCTCAAAACTGCATGGTCTAACAAAACTATGATTGCAATCATCATGTTACGTGCGAACCTTGAAGAGGACCACGAATTTGCCATTCATACAGAGCACTGGTTAGTAGTGATGTTCTGATCGTTCAACCTGTGCATGAATTTCCAGGGCCTTCATTGTGCAGTCGCTACCACCAAAGTCAGTCGGGGAGCGTCAGGAGAGCTTGGAATTTAGAGCGGCACCAGCCCGTTTCCCTCTACTCATCAAACGACAAAGCCCAGCAATCTGAAGAAAACAGGCTGGCTCCACACCAGAGCCCGTGTCGCGTAACACGCCCTGAATGACTTGAAGACAGTTCCGCGCTCAAGTAGTACATGGTCTTTCCTTCCTTGTCAGGTGCTCCCAGCTCCAAAGCAGACACTCGCCGCCATTTGCGGTCCATCACGGGCACTCCAATAGTGAGCGAGGAGCGAGCTTGGCCGCCCACTGAAAAGGTTCTGAGTGTCTAAACGCCAGCCGCAGGTTTGGGACCGCTCACTTGTTAGATGCCCTCTGACAGAGAGCCGATCAGTTGTTCTTCGTTTGGAGCGGCGGGCATTATCGGAATTGCATGTCTTTTTTGCTGACCACGCTCACGCCCATAAATAATTCTGCTCTCCTTTATTACATTTTATTCATTAGGAGCACATGCAGCCAACTGCAACCCATCTCGCAAGGTAAAACGCGTAAAAATCACGAGTGATGCAATTTTCGTGGTGCAAAAGCTCGACATGCACTAAAAGATGCACGCTACCGTAACCCCAAATTCGGACGCCGAGTTTTTGAAATTTTCTTTTTTAAGTGTTTTTCGTCCGTGTTTTTGTTGTTTTTCGTATTCTTTTCTTTGCATTGGATGATATCCACTACTGGGAGATGCGATAAAGCGATTTGTGAGCCAGGGGTTGCACAGAGACCGCAGGGCGGTGTGACTGTCAGGGAGCGATTTTGTTTATGGTGTTCTTGAGGGCTCTTTTTTTTTCTTCTTTGGGGAATTACTTATCAGCTACTGTTTCATAATTGAACAGCAACTATCCATGACACTTTTATCGCGGGAGCTGTCTTTAAGTGATAGCTACTGTATAGGGGGAAGTCTCAATCCCATCACGCACCATTGCTCCAAACTACCAAATCCCTTCGAGAATAAAGAACCTAGTGGATCGGCAAAACCGATCCGGGATAAGTACCACTTCATTCGCAACTAGCCCACTCCAGTGCTAGCTCAAAAGAAATTAAGAAAACAATTCTATCAACTTGCGTACTTCCCAACCTCTTCCTCCTTCGCTTGTTATGTTTTACTAAAACGAGTACACAAAAAAGAATCAGCAGAACGACTATGTTGAGGCCGTTCATAACGGCAACTACTAACCATCCCAACTTCCGAGGCATTGCTGAAAAATCAGAACTGTCAATAGGAAACGAAATTTACTACTGACACTAACGAAACTCATTTCTCTAGCGGTACCTTGGATTGGTGTGCAAAATTCAATCTCATCATCATCCATGAGCACTGCAGAAAGTACAACTACAGCCGATCCAAGCAGCAAC